AGGGGACTCTCAAGAGTCTTCTCCAGCACCACAGTTCAAAGGCATCAATTCTTCGGCGCTCAGCCTTCTTTATGGTCCAGCTCTCACTACCAAGCTACTATATATAAACAGGAAGCAAACCCCACATTTACTCACACTGGTGTTATCTAGATGGGCAATGAAATGTCTGACGTGGACATTTAATCTGTGCTTTTATATTGTTGTAAGCTGCCATGAGTCTTTCAGCTTTGGCAGCGTACCAATTTAAACAACAATTAAAAACAAAGCTCTTCTCCCAATAATTCACTTCAAGATATGATAAAGAAACTGGCTTTGATGGATTTAAAATCAGATTTGACAAATTCACAGAACTGCAGATATTAGAAACTGGATGGGGGCAACTTCCTATACTTTCCAGCTTATGGGTTTCTTCAAAGGGATATGGCTGATGACCACAAGGAAGATGAAGATGATGGGTTTTTAGTAGGTTATTTTTAAAAAACCTCCAAAAAAGTGTCCATCTACCAACATCCGTATGCATTAACTTGAGACCCGAATTGTTCTTGATACATACAGCAAGACTGGTCAACTCCCAAGCCATATCAGGCCCCCAGCATTCATTTCTTCCCCAGAGCTGTCTCAAGTCATGATTGTGAAATCTGGTGACAAAATCATTTTTTTCAGCTGTTTTCTTTTTCATCCCCCCCTCACAAAAAAAGGGGGGGGGGGACGAAACAGGTTCATTAAGCCTCTTAAAGGGTTAGTTATCTTTTGAAAGCCCCCATCCACCTCCAGAAAAATGATGTGACTATGTCACCAACCATGTTCTCTGAGGTCTTTGGAGAGTGAAAAATATTAAACATGGAAGTGTGGGTTACAGCACTCCAAAAAAGATTGCTCGCTCCTGACATACATGCATGTATCCCATTTGGAGCAACACAAGCTTAGAGAAAAAGACAAATCACACACACCTGGATCACATGCAACTATAGATCTATATGACAACAGAAGCACATGATCTGGAGGCTCAGGTTGTATTAACCATTCCTGGTAGGGACATATAAAATGCAACTGTCCAGGGAACATGGAACATTCCCTTTTACGTCAGACCATGATGTTTCAGTCATTTTGGGGGTGGTCCTATAGTAAATCTGCCAGACCAGGAATTAGTTTGTGGTGTTTTGGTGGTGGACTTCGTCCAAAGTATCACAAACCCTGTGACACTTAGTCCCTGGGGTGATACATTTTGGCAGGTTTTGGAATGGAACATACGCCTTGTGTGCAGAAGATCTCTGGCATGTCTCTATGAAACCACAGATATATACTTTCAGACCAGGTGGAGAATGCCATGTTAAAGAGACCAACACTTGGGCATCTGCAAGAAGCCACAATGTTACATATATCATAACATCATCACACAAATCTAATGATGTAATTTGCATCCATCATATCTTAATTCATGTCATTTGCAGACACTACTGATAGCCCAACAGTCTAATTTGTATAAGGCCATTTCCTACAATGACATGAACAGCTCAACTTACCGAAGAGGAAGCAAGAAACAGTAACGCACAAGGACTCCAATAACCCACACCACGGTCAGTCGTAAACTGATGTATTGGAAGTTCACATTAGTCCTGGTGAGGAGGTTCCAAGAAACCAGCTCCTCTGAAGTGAATCGTTGGGTGACTTCATCTTCTACAATTGCTTCAAATCCTTTCTTACAGAAATAAAAGACATCTGAGAGCTCAAAGTCACCGCAGCGCAAGCCAGCAATCGCCTTCTCCATGGTGGTTTGATCTCTCTGTATGATAACTTCAGAACAAGGGAAGAGAGAACGAGAACACAGCTAAGTGAGAAAGCAAAGCTGGACAGAAATAGATCCCTAGTAGTAGTAGTAGTAATAATTTATAATACATGTCCAGAGAACAACTGGTGTTATCTTCATTAATCCTGAGCCCTTTTCCAATATTTGGAAACAGTGAAGGTGGAGGAAAAACTGGTTCCAGTGAGTCAGCCTATCCACTATCCACATATAGTTCCTGACTATATGGAGAATGAACATGGTTACAGTTTTTGTACAGACTTTTCCCATTAACTTCAAAAGGGTTAGCACATACATATATATCCCTGGCTCCCCCCCATGGTTACATTTTGGAATGACTGAATAGGAGTTCGTACACAGCATTAAAAAAAAATCCTCTGCAATAATTCATAAAGGAGAACAACAACTGCAGGACAAACTGAACATCTTATCGGTGCAGCATTTTGAGTTTGAAAGGAAGAAAGTGCAAGGTCAGGTGGGCATTCACAAAGCACCAGCGATAACAAGAAATCCATCGTGATTCCTACACAATCCACGAGACTCCTTTTTTCTTCAAATCTGAAGGATAGGATATAATTCAACTAGAAATTCTTGGGTAAGTAAAACTGACTTTCACTTCAAACATGGACTGAAGTGAACAAGTGAAGTTTTCCCTAAGTAGCCTTCTTCAAGGTTCGGCAGTACCAGCTTTCAAATAACCAACTGCATAAACTAATAGGCCCAATGGGGGAAGAGGGGAGACACTAGCAATGTTTCACTCCCACATCACTTTGTTGGACTTCTCAGTGATGATTATACAGCCCACAAGCAGTGCAGTAAGTTCATTAGATCAGCACCTACAGTTATGCCATAAAGACACCAGGCAGTGATCCATAAATCAGAATGGGCATATGAGAATTTCTTAGGGGCAAAGTAGAAGAGGAGCATCTGAGAATCTGGAGAGCCCTTTCTCTTCTCTCCTGAAACAACTTCCAAATATACTGTTGTATTCTTAGTGTACTGTTGTATTTCTTATACAACAATATACTGTTGTATAAGAAAAAAACTTATAAAGGTTTAAAAGATGTAGACTGTAGATCAGTGTTTCTCAACCTTGGCAGCTTGAAGATGTGTGGACTTCAATTCCCAGAATTC